TCTGTAATTCTCATCACCATATATCACCGTCGAGTGTGTACTTGTGATTCATGTTTTATTTATAAACTAACAAACAAGCATGCGCGTTGCAATGGAAGGAAAAAAATATCACGAGCTCATAGCCCAGTCGTCCTTCGTTTGTGCTCCCTTTTTTTGTAACACAATTGTTTATTGTTCAATCGTTCGCAACACAAATTAAACTTTTTCACAGTATAAATATCTATGCTTAATTGTGCAACAGTGGCGTACTTAGATTATTTAAAATTTTGAAAATGGTTTTCCTTGCCAAAGTGAAATTTAGAATTTTAAATTCTAAGTTGTGCACAAAGAGGCAACTATTCTCTTTACCAAATATGCGCCAACTATTTTTGTTACCTCCTTAAATATGAATACTCTGCGAAGTATATATATTTAATCTTCTACTCCCTCCGTTCCTAAATGTAAGTCTTTGCAGAGATTCCACTAGGTGGACTACATACGGAGCAAAATGAATGAATCCATATTTAAAATGCATCTACATACATCCGTATGTAGTTCAAAATGAAATCTCTACAAAAACTTATATTTAGGAACGGAGGGAGTACGTATTTATCTGAAGACCAAATGGTATCCATTTAAAAAAAACACCAAATGGTAAACCATTTCTTTCATGGAAACTAATGTCCATGTAAAAGAAATACGACCACAAGAGAAATCATGCAAAAAAATTGATTGTTTTCTCCCGCGCGTTGGCCACAATTTGTCTTCTCATGTGCGTTTTTTTACCAACCTGATTGTTTTGTGACTTGCCCTTGTACATAGGCGAACAAGCCCGCTCCCACCTCCATCCGGCCACGCCCGATAAGAATGCATGTTGTGTAAGCTGGCCGCCGTCTTACTTTTTTTTCCTCGTTCACTATGTGGAAATGTCCAGCTTCGCTTACGTTGGACGTAACTTATGACCTCATTACATTTATCTTTAGGTTCTTCCATAATCCCACACCTCAGTATCTTTACTACTTAATCTCTACTACTAAAAAAGAACGCAAGGTTTCCATTTCATCTTTCTTTCTACCAGCCCTTCGTGAGACCTTCCATGTATATGATAATCAATCATCTTAATTACTTACCTTCTAAACCAATTCCGTTTTAATTTACTTACAAACTTCTAATCAAAATAAAAGTTAATTCACGGACAGAATTTGATGAACATTTATTTACACAATCGCATTATTATTGCCAGATAAATCACAAGCTAATGTACTAAAATATTTATATTTCGTTGCAACGCACGGGCATTGTTCTACTCCCTCTGTTCTCAGATGTAAGTCCTTTTAGAGATTCCAACTAGTGACTACATACGGAGTAAAATGAGTGAATCTATACTCAAAAATATGTCTACATACATCCGTATGTTGTAGTCGATTTGAAATATCTAAAAAGACTTATATTTAGGAACGGAGGAAGTAGTTTATTTTAAAAAGGGCTTGTTAATTGTCTAGGCGCTGACGTATATAAATCGGTGGATTTTTATGTACTACAACAAGGTGGGACTACTAATTCAAAGGTGAACCCTCTTTTGCAACAGAAGCGAAAGCTAGAGATAGAAATAATTCCTGTTGCAACCAGCAGGAGCAATAATTCCACCTCTCTGTATTAGTTGGTATAGATATAAATAAATCGGTATAGATAGATAGATATAGAGATATAAATAGAGGTAGAGATAGAAATAGAGATAGAGATAGATATAGATATAAACAAAGTGAAATTTAGAATTTGAAATTCTAAGTTGTGCATAAAGAGACAACTATTCTCTTGACCAAATACAATATGTGCCAACTATTTTTGTTATCTCCCGAAATATGAAGACTCCGCTAAGTATATATATTTAATCTACTCTATGTATGTATCTAAAGACCAAATGGTATCAGTTTAGACAAGACCAAGTGGTAAAATAATTTCTTTCGTGGAAACTAAATTCCATGCAAAAAAAATTACGAACACAAGAGAAATCATGCAAATAAATTGGTTGTTTTCTCCCGCGCGCTGGCCACAATTTGTCTTCTCCTATGCGTTTTTATCTTTTTTCGAGGGTATGCCAATGGCGTACCTTAGCTTTATAGAAGGGAGAAAAATATGTACAAGAGATTACACATGTGCTAGTTAGGGGTCACAAGTCGACCCTAACCAACCCTCCACACCACTCCCTAAGTCTACTTGACTACTCTATATCTAGATGTCCTCCAAGTGCTCCTGCTCTTGCCCATGTCCTGAGATCATCGAAGATCATGTCCACCGTATCCCATTCGTTCTTGATCATTCCGGTGCCAAAAACCCTCGCGTCCTTTGCTTCCATAACGTCCAACAAATTAGCATCACGAAAGTGTCAAAGCCTTTCCGGGATTGCTTATCTATTCGTTTTCTACCTTCCGTCCACCACTGCACCAGCCTCGAGTTGTTAGTTGGGCATAGGTCTGCCGTCAACCCCATCCCGACGATGCAACGGAACCACACTTGCCGTGAGAAGACGCATTGCAGCAATATATGATCAACCGTGTCGTCCTCTTGGTCACACATGTAGCATTGTGAGATTTGGTCCTGTAAACCGTGCCTGGCTCTCATGTCTGATGTCCAGAGGCGATATTGCACAGCTAGCCACATGAAAATCTTGCACGCAAGAGGTTCCCAACACTTCCATATGGCCCCGAAGGAATGAAATCTAGTTCCTCCCTCACACAACATCTTGTACGCCGAGGATGCAGTATATACGCCCGATGCATTCCAAGCCCAGATGGGACGGTCCTCAATCTGATCATCCAGCTGGACCTCCATGAGTATCTCCCAAAGCCCGATGAACTGAGTGAGACCCTCCGTACATAGGTCTCCTACAAGATCATCCATCCATGCATGCATGTGCATCGCATCTCGCACGAGTCTCCTGTTTGCTACTTGTGTCCGCACCTTTGCCACCACCAATGGGGCAATCTCTTTGATTGTTGCACCATATGTATCCATCGGTCTTTCCAAAACAAGGTCTTGCCTCCGGATCCAACTTGTCACTTAACTAGGCTCCCAAAGGCTTGGTCCACTTTTTTGTCCGCGGTCAAATTGAGGTCTTGCCAAGGCCTAGATTCATCCGTGCGTCGGAGCCATTCCCATCTCAATCTTAATGCGATGTCGTGTTTGTCAGTTCAATGACTCCAAGCCCTCCCATGTGCTTTGGCCTGCACATCTTAGTCTATGTGACAACACATTTGCCCTCATTCACCGCCTCAGTCCCAGCCTAGAAGAAAGCCCTACAACCTTTGTCCACTCTTTCCAGAGCCCTTTTTGGTGCCTCCGCGATCATGAGGTGATGTGTAGCACGCGCCCTCATAACTTGGTTAACAAGTATGAGCCTCCCAGGTCTCGTCACCAGGCCCCTTTGCCATCCTGGCAAAATGTGTAGTGTTGTATCAACAATGGGCTGCCACTCGGATCTTTTTAGTTGTTTTATGCTTAGCTGGAGCCCTAGATATTTGCACGGAAAGGTGTCAATCTTCCATGGCAGAGCAGACTTGACAAGCTCCTCATCCTCACTCTCAGCCCTGATCATGATCGCCGTAGATTTGGCATAGTTTACTTTGAGTCATGATGCCACTCCGAATATGGTGAGAATTTCCTTGACGAACATGAGATCTGGCCAAGTTGGCTTTATGAAGAGCACCACATCATCCGCGTACAGGGACAAGCGCTGCATAGGGCTACATCCATTGATTGTACTCAACACTCTGGCTTCATGCGCCTTCCTGATGATAGCCGTTAAAACGTCCATGGCAATAACAAACAACAAGTGGGATATCGAGTCCCCTTGCCTAAGCCCTTTTGCATGCATGAATTTGTCGCCCGCGCAGCCATTCACCAAAACTCTCGAGCTGGTAGTAGTAAGAAAAATCGCAATCCAAGAGATCCAACGCTCCGAGAAGCCTTTAGCCCTTAACACCTCAAACAAGCACGACCACGCCAGAGAGTCGAAGGCTTTCGAAATGTCAAGCTTGCGCAACACTCCCTTGGCTTTCCTCCTATGCATCGAACGCGCCATTTGCCGAACCAAGAGGAAATCGTCGTGTAAGCATCTGCCCTTGATGAAAGCGGACTGGTTTGTCTGAACAAGCTCTCCCATGCGTGGCCTTAGTCTGGCAGTCAACAGTTTGAATGCTATCTTGGGCATACTGTGCACAAGGCATATAGGTCTGAAATCAAACACAACACTCGCTTCCGGGGAGTTAGGTATAAGTGTGATCAAAGCTTGGTTAAGCCTTCCAAACCCCCTCCCGTTGCCAAGGAAAAGTTTATGGACCACCGCAACTATATCCTCCTTGATTATCTCCCAAGCCTTTTGAAAGAATAGGCCAATGAACCCGTCCGGCCCAGGCGCCTTGTCCAAAGGTAAATCCTTGATTACCCCCCAAATCTCATCTTCAGCGTCTCCTTCTTGCAGCCAAGAGATTCTCGATCTCTGTCTCGCAATGGTCCGTTGTCTTATTTTTTTTCCCGTTCACATTGTGGTCATGTCCAGCTTCGCTTACGAAGGACAAAACTTATGCCCTCATTACGTTTATCTTTAGTCTCTTTCATAATCGCACACCTTACTATTTATTTACAAAAGGACTTGTTAATTGTCTATGCGCTGACGTATATAAATCGGTGGATTTTTATGTACTACAGCGAGGTGGGACTATTAATTGGAAGGCGAACCTCTTTTGCACCAGAAGCAAAAGCTAGAGATAGAAATAGTTCCTGATGGAACCAGCAGGAGCAATAATTCCACCTCTCTTTATTAGTTGGTATAGATATAAATTAGTATAGATAGATAGATATAGAGATAGAGATAGGGATACAGATAGATATAGAAGCGAGGCAAAAAATCTTTTTCGTGAGAGTCTACAAGAATCTCCTGCGATCAACCAAACACGCCATTACAATCGTGTAATAATGAAGATAAGAGAATAATTCGAGGAGAAGAGGAAGCATATACACCCATGGCTCGTACACAAACACACCCAGAGTCCACGGTCAACAAGTCTGCCATATCTGGCTCTTTGCCACATCGTTTCCCTCCCCTCACCCATCCCCCTTTTTCGCTTTATAAAACGGCCAAACCCCGTTCCACCGTAGCGCACACAAACACAAGAGTCCTCACTCATTCTCTCCACCGAGGCCAAGGGAAGGGACGAACCGAACGGAACGGGGCGATGGCCGCAGCGAACGGCGCCAAGGGGTTCGAGGTGCCGGAACTGGACATCAAGTTCACCAAGCTCTTCATCAATGGCCAGTTCGTCGACGCAGCTTCCGGTACGCAGAGCTTCCATCTTCTTTTCCCGCGGCGGTCGCGTAGTTGAGGGCAAGTCCAGCGGCACCCTGACTCTCCGCTGGTCGTTATCTTAGGGGAGAAACGCGAAAGAACTCTGTTAGCAGCGCTCCGATTTCCTCGCCGTTTTACCGGTCTCTCCGATCTGAAGCCCGAACTCCCCTGTGTATCGGGGAATCGGTGACCGCCCTGGTCGCCGCCCCATCCGGGACGCTCGCACCGGCGCTAGATGGTACCGACGCGGCAGCTCCGGAGCAGGGGAGGCAGAGCTGGGCGCCCGTGGCAGAGGTGGCCACCCGCGTAGAGGAGCGTGCGCGCGCCTGCACCCTGGAGGGCGGCCGGCGGTAGGAAGTGCGAGCGCGTCGGAGAGGAGGCGTCTCGCTGCTCGTGGGAGGCGCGAGGCTGTTGCTGTGTGCTGCGTCGTGTTACTTGCGTGAGACACTGAGAGAAAGACCGAGAGACGAGAGGGAGGTAGCAGTGGCGCATGGCAATGACGACGGCGCGCCGGTAGATGTGGAGCAGGGCGAGCGGGCGGCAAGCGGGGAGGATGAGCAGCGTGTGGCCGAGCTCGCAGCGTAGATCTTCTTGGATGGATGGGTAAAACACGTGCGCCCAGAGGGGAGGACCCGACGCGGCGACGGCGCAGGAGAGAGGACGCCCGGAGGAGAAGCACACCTGTGACCGTGGTCCGTGGTGACTGGTGAGGTAGGCACACACGTACAGCGGCCGCGGTGGCCAAGGACTAGTAGTGCATGATCAACGAGATTACGACAGATGGACGCCCGATCAATTCGGGATAATCGAGCGTGTCCGATCCGACGAGTAACTATCCTCATGCGTGTGCATGCCGGCCCCCATCCATGTCGCCAATTTCTCCTCTGCGCCCGCCCTCATCTTTGTTGCTTGCGCTGTCCTCGGGAGTTTTTTTTGTTGCTTGCGCTGTCTTGTCCTCGAGTCGATCGCTAGCCTTTTGTAACCATGTTGTTGCTCTAATGGAATTCTTGATGGTTACACCTACGGACGTAGCTCGAGCCATATCACCACATCTTTTTATAGTGGGAAAAGACTAACTTCTCCATCATTATCATGGTATAATACCACAAAATAAAACTTACCGGTACTTTCACCCGACTGATAACGACGTGCAATTCGCCACAAATAAAAATCAGAATTTTATTTTCTTTTGCTATTCTTTAGGATTTTACTGTGATCTCGGGTTCAAAAATTCCACGTCCTGTCCGTACCGGCATTCTCCTTCAAACTTGGTCGAAGCTTCTACAGTTTCACCGTGTAAACTACCAGACACACAATAGCCATATCAAACAGTAGCACTATCTCACATACATAAATGTCAAACTACAAACTTTCCTTCTTGCAATTAACTGTACGATGAAGATAAATAATTGACACCTTTAGCAATAGCATACTCCCTCTGTAACGTAATGTAAGACATTTTTGCAGTTCAATTTGAGTTGCAAAAACATCTTATATTACGTATACAGAGGTAGTAGTATGTACTGACTATCAGTACTTTCTTAGCCTAGTACATGGAAGCTCTGCATTAGGATCACATAATACATGCTGCCCCAAAGAATCTGCTTGTTTTTACTACTTGTTCGAGAAAAATAGGCCTGCCTTTAGTTCAGTTTGCAGAATGCAGTTTAGTTAACTTCAGTGATTCATCCAGGTGAATAGTCATACGGTGATTTAATTGAGTGTGAAGTTTTGGTGGACGGGTACATTGGATGACTTTTATTTCAAATGATTCAAAAATGGTATTTTCAAGTTAAAATAAAATTAAAAATTGTGAAAAAAATATACATATTCGGGATGTATCCATAAAATTTCGTTCAAAAATATTATGATTTCAAGCTACACAAAAACACAAAATTCCGACCCAACAACAATAAAAAAATGGCCCATTTTCATGTATGTATATGTTTTTTGTGTATACACCATGTATGAAAATTTCACTGAACGTGGTATATATGTATTTGTGCATACAAAAAACTCGATTTGTTTTGTGATGTAGAAATATGTTTTTTTATGAAGTCCGCCATGGAGCCCGTCCTCCATTTGCTCTTTTCATATTTCATTTCCTTCTTTTTTTGACTGTATTTCATTTCATTAGTTGAACACGTACTACGCTTATATGCAAACAGGCAAGACGTTCGAGACACGGGACCCGCGCACCGGCGAGGTGATCGCCAGGATCGCCGAGGGAGACAAGGCCGACATCGACCTCGCCGTGAAGGCCGCCCGCGAGGCCTTCGACAACGGCCCCTGGCCCAGAATGCCCGGATGTGTACGTACTCAATATGATTCGGCCCATCGATAGATATTTTGGGCTTATATCTAACAACGTCTCTTTGTTTGGCGCGTGGGCAGGCAAGGGCCCGGATCATGCACAAGTTCGCGGACCTGGTGGACCAGCACGTGGAGGAGCTGGCGGCGCTGGACACGGTGGACGCCGGCAAGCTATTCATGATGGGTAAGATGATGGACATCCCCGGAGGCGCCAACCTGCTCCGCTACTACGCCGGCGCCGCCGACAAGATCCACGGCGAGACGCTCAAGATGGCGCGCCCGCTCCACGGCTACACGCTCAAGGAGCCCGTCGGTGTCGTGGGCCACATCGTCCCCTGGAACTACCCCACCACCATGTTCTTCTTCAAGGTAAGCCCCGCGCTCGCCGCCGGGTGCACCATGGTCGTCAAGCCCGCCGAGCAGACGCCCCTCTCCGCGCTCTTCTATGCCTACCTCGCCAAGGAGGCCGGGGTCCCCGACGGCGTCCTCAACGTCGTGCCGGGATTTGGACCGACGGCCGGCGCGGCCATGGCCTCTCACATGGACGTCGACAAGATCAGCTTCACGGGATCCACGGAGGTCGGGAGGCTGGTCATGCAGGCGGCGGCCTTGAGCAACCTCAAGCCCGTCTCGCTGGAGCTGGGGGGCAAGTCCCCGGTCATCGTGTTCGACGACGCCGACGTTGACATGGCCGTCAACCTCGTCAACATGGCCACCTACATGAACAAGGTATATATATACTGTGCTCTGCTTTCATCTAGCTCAAGCAACAGGCTCGATCAAACTCTCACGCATTCATGGTTTCTGCTACTGTCGCATCACAGGGCGAGATCTGCGTCGCTGGCACGCGCATATACGTGCAGGAAGGGATCTACGACGCCTTTGTGAAGAAGTCGGTCGAGCTTGCCAAGAAATCGGTGGTCGGAGATCCTTTCAACCCCAACGTACATCAAGGTCCTCAGGTATTAATCCATCGACCTGCCGGCATCTCTGTATATTATTATGCTCTTCAGAGAAGAAGGCTCTAATTATTAACGACCACTTATATGCATATAAATAAATCCATCAAAGGTTGACAAGGACCAATACGAGAAGGTCCTCAAGTACATCGATGTTGGTAAGAGCGAAGGCGCCACCCTCCTCACCGGAGGGAAGCCCTGCAGCGACAAAGGTTACTACATCGAGCCCACCATTTTCACTGACGTGACGGATGACATGTCGATTGCGCAAGAGGAAATCTTCGGCCCGGTGATGGCTCTCATGAAATTCAAGTAGGTTTTTACATTTTGTCCGCCTGAACATTTTCAACTTGACAGTTGAGTCGACACACGGATGGAACTGATCTGACGGCCTGAAACTACTGGGTGTGCACTGTTTTTACTTCAGGACGGTGGAGGAGGTGATTCAGAAGGCGAACAGCACCCGGTATGGCCTGGCCGCCGGCGTGGTGACCAAGAACATCGACACCATGAACACCGTGTCGCGGTCAGTCAGGTCCGGTGTCGTCTGGGTTAACTGCTACTTCGCCTTCGACCCCGACGCCCCATTCGGCGGCTGCAAGATGAGCGGCTTCGGCAAAGACATGGGCACGGATGCGCTCGAAAAGTACATGCACACCAAGACAGTGGTCACTCCACTCTACAACACACCCTGGCTGTGATATGGACGGACGTCCGATCATGAACAGAATGGGCGAAACACATGGGGAAAGATTGCCTTTTTATATATGATTTGTACAGCTGAATGCTTTCAGCTTCCTTGTGCAGTTGTACTTATTACTTGTAGTCAATCTTCTTCGTGGTATTATTCTCTACAAGATGAAATATTCTCAAATGTTCAGTAAAGATGTTGCTGTTAGACTGAAGTGGCGATACCGTCACTCTTTCGCCCACACAAACTTGATTACCAATAAAAGTTTCTAAAAGTCGCTTTCAGTCAATCATCCAAAAATATGGGAAGCCTCGAACGATGAACATACTTGGACCGAGGATGATCCCCTAGAAATGTTGGTTATTGAATCACAAGAATTTTACCACGATCTCGCGGAAAGATTCCAACACCACAAAAAATCAAACAAACAAAAACAACATGCCGCAATAACATAAATTCATCATATCCGAATAATTAGATCTATGATGATACGAACCTCTATCTCCATCGCAGCGCCAAAAAAAGACCAAGAATGACTTTATTTGAAAAATACCAAGATCCCCTCTAGACACTAACAAAAAAAAACAAATCTCTTGAAGATCCAAAGGCCCCAAGGGGATTGAAGGGGGAGCTCCTATTTGGGCAGTGCATGTTGGAAACCAGCCAACGCGCACCCACGGGTACCCCCGCGCATCCTTTTGGGCCGGCCCATCTGCGGGGCGGGAAGCCCCCTGTATTTTCATTTCATTTTTTAAACGTTTGTTCTTTCTTTTCTATTTTTAGTTTAAAATAATTCAGGTAATAAAATTGCAGATTTTTAAAAATGCTTGAGAAAATTGTATTCGTGAAGTTGAAAAATGTTTATGATTTTGAAAATATTCTGGGAATAAAAAATATTCATAATTTCTAAAAAATGTTCACATATTAAAAAATATATTCATGAATTTCTTATTTTTTGTAAATTCAAAAATGTTCAATCTTTTAAAAAATATCCACAAAAAATGTTCGCAAATTTCATAAATGTTCCCAAATTTTTGTAAAAAAAATCCTCAATTCAAAAACTGCTAATTGGTTCAAATTTTCATGCATTTAAAAAAATGGTTCATCAAAACATACAAATCTTCATGAATTTGAACAAATGTTCGTCGACTCATGAGCTGTTTCTACTCAAACATACATATGCATGCACTAGGAACCTGCCTCACACAGGCATGGTGGGTGAACCCAGCCTAAAACTGGGCCTCAGATCAGGAAACCATCCTAAATTCTGCCTCACGTCGGGTGGGCTGGAGAATTTCGAGAAAAGGACAAGTCAAACCATTTTTTACCTAAATCTGGGTAGATTTTTGGCACTTTTACCTAAACCTGGGTTGATTCCAGGCATGCATTACTGCTGCATGGCCTAAGACTGGCATTGCAATGGGCCTCAGGCAAAGATGCATTGCATGTGAGTGGGAGTTCATAAGATGAAATTAATTATCATGAACATAGTCAAAAGGTTTTTGCAAATTATGTCGTAGCTCGCGCTTTAGTTCTACTGTTTTAGATATGTTCCTAGAGAAAATTTAGTTGAAAGTTGATAGTAGCAATTATGCGGACTGGGTCCGTAAAATGAGGATTGTCCTCATTGCTGCGTAGAAGGCTTATGTCATTAATGCATCGCTCGGTGTGCTGAACCTCGAACATCGTGTGTGGATGTTGCGAACATCTGACATACACGTTTTGATGACTACGTGATAGTTCAGTAATGTTAAACGGTTTAGAATTGAGGCGCTAAAGACGTTTTAGAAATGTCGCAGAACATATGAGATGTTCCAAGGGCTGAAATTGGGATTTCAGGCTCGTGCCCCAGAATACTTCTACCATGACACGAGTCACGTGGAGTGGGTTATAACTTTGGTCGCGCCTGAGCGCCATAACAAGGTGTCTGCTTCGACCGACGACCTCCAACTTAAGTTGTCCATGGGTGCCATTATTTTAAATACGTGTTGAAGATTGTTCAAATACACTTTGAAACGTTTTTTAAAATTATAGAAAATAATTTTTAAAATATGCAAACATATATTCATGATAAATCTATACACAATGCACAACCACTGATTCTAGGATATAGGGGAAGTTCCTCACTCATTTCCTACCATGTGCATTTGGTCGCACCGAGCGCCACAGCAAGGTGTCTGCTTCCACTGATGACCTCAACTCGAGTCGTCCACATGTGGCCTCACATATATTGGCTATATGGGGAACACCTGGATGTTCGAGAAAAAGGTCTCAGGAGGCTCCTTTATTCGTGTGTGTGGCTAGCCCATCCTGGTCACTGGCGTTTCCTACAGCCATGCTTGAGCACAAAAATTTGGTCATGTCGGAGCATGAAAAGCACCAAGCAAATAGCTTCATACAACTGCGGTGGCATGAGCTGCTTCTGCTCAAACATACATGCATGCACTAGTACCCCGCCTCACACAGGCATGGTGGATGAAACCAGCCTAATACTGGGCCTCAGATCAGGAAACCTACCTAAATACTGCCTCGCGTCGGGCGGGGTGGAGAAATTTGAGAAAACGACAAGCCAATCCATTTTTTTACCTAAATTTAGGCAGATTTTTGGCGCTTTTATCTAAACCTGGGTAGATTCCCAGGCATGCCTCGCTGCATGGCCTTTTTCTTTTTGAGGGGTTGCCGCATGGCCTAAGACTACTGACATTGCAATGGGCCTCAGGCAATGATGCATTGCATGTGAGGGGTTGATCATGTCCAGCCCATAGCCCAAAAATGCACCTACACCTTGTTGTAATACTTTTCTTTCTTTTATTTTATTTACTCCATTTCCCCTTTGTAATTACTGCTGCTTACGTTGTTTTGACTATTAATAAAAAAGGAAATTTGTTTCCCAAAAGAATGAATCTAGAATTACCGGAGTTTGGCAATAGTTAAAGAATTGTTATCAGGTGCTCGCCGCTACCGAGATCTAACTTTGGCCAGAAATTTCAGTCTATAAAAAGATAGAGACAAGTATTATGATGAAAACGCATCAAAAGACATGATACAACATAGAAAATATTTTACTTGCATAATCTTGGTTTCCATGACCTATCTATGGGAAGCCTCGAGCGATGAACATATTTGGACCGAGGATGATCCCCTAGAAATGTTGGTTGTTGAATCACAAGAATTTCACCACGATCGCACGGAAAGATTCCAACACCACAAAAAATCAAACAAACAAAAACAACATGCCGCAATAACATAAATTCATCATATCCGAATAATTAGATCTATGATGACACGAACCTCTATCTCCATCGCAGTGCCAAAAAAAGACCAAGAATGACTTTATTTGAAAGGGTTTGTCTAGATTTCAGTCGACTTAGACTTCACAAAGTCTAAGTCGACTGACATCATATATACATTGATTGCACGTTTAACTCTGTTTCCTGTTCGTTTTGTGTTGGCCTGCGTTGGCCTTTGTTGGCTCACCACGTGGGATCCTGTTGGGCTGTATTGACATTGTCCATTGGTTGTGCCTGTGTTTTTTTCTTTGTGCTTTTTACTGGAATTGCTAGAACATTGTCCCGTTGGTGTATTGCTGCACAGCACAATGTAGCTAGCATTTAATTTTTACGCTATCATCGCTAATGCTCTGTTCCTTCTTTTTGTGTCATCTTGTTTTTCTTAATTTTTTTCTTAATTTTTTGTATTTTTAAATGATAAATAAATATTTAATGCAACAAAGAAAAAAAAAGAAAAAGAAAAAATATAACGAAGAAGACAATTTAATTGTCTGTGACCGACGAATAACTATATGCGGCCGACTAGTGTGCAAATGGGTATCAATATTATTTTGGAACGGAAAAAAGTAATTTGCATGTGAATGACATGTAATTGTGTGCGACATGTAATTGCGTTTGATTGAGGACATGCAATTGCATGCGGCTAACATGTATGCAACTGGGTAGACGGACAAGCAACTCATGTGGACGACGTGTGTGCCACCTGATGGCAAATATTAAAAAAAGAAAAACATTCAAGTTTGCTGGCAAATATTTAAAATACGGATTTGAATTTTCCCTCATCTCTCACAAAACAATAAAGAGTTGCACTCTCTTTGAAGACATGCAATTATAGTCGGGCGATGCTTGCACTTACGTGCATAGTAGCAACTGCAATTGCCTTTCTTTATGCGGACAGAACAATACTAAGTTGGAGTTACAATCAGGAGATGTACATGCAATTGTGTAACTATTGGAAGACATGCAATTGAAGTCCGGGCGAAGCTTGTAGTTGTGTGCCTACTAGCAAACTCCCTTCACAACAGCATTAAAAATGTGTCTGAGGATCTGGACAAGTAACTATTCTCTCCTTTAATATGCTCTTTTTTTTTAGAAAATGAGCTCTACTGTCAGAATCAGATACAAAAAACAAAAAAATAATTTTTTTCTTCATCCTTGGAAAAACAAAAAAATGCAAATAGAAAAAAGGAAAAAAATGTGTATGATTTCAAAAAATAAGGAAAAAAACAAACTGGTTGTGAGATCGGGTGCTTGATTTGTGTTTGCGGGCATGGCAGAAAACGGGGGTCTTATGGTGCTCGTGTGACACATAGCGAGGGTAGGGGATTCACCGGGGAGCTGCCCCCTTCTGACCAAGCAAAAAATTCTAGTTGCAAAAAATGTTTGTAAAAAGACATGTAGTTATAGTCCAGGGGACAACGCTTGCAATTGCATGACTAGTTGCCCCCCTCTCTCTTCTTGCCGCCCCTCCGACAAAACAAAGGCGCCTAGTTGCAACTAAGTTAGAAGACACTAAGTTACGACCATGCTAGAAGACATGCGGTTGCATGAGTATAGTTGGACATGCAGCTGGACACCTCTCTCTCGCTGCCGCCCCCTCCGACAAAACAAGGGTCCTCCTAGTTGCGACCAAGTTAGAAGACATGCAGTTGTGTGCCCGTTGTGGGACATGCAACTGGCTCCATCTCTCTCGACGGCATCCCCTCCAACAAAACAAGGG